CCTGCGGAGCAGAGAAACAGGCTTCACAGCACTTAATGGATACTGATGACTGGGATTATATCAACAAGAGCAAGATTGTATCTTGGATAGAAATTTCAGAGGCAGAGTGAGGAAATTAGCAGTCAAAATACTTGAAAGCTGCATTATGCTAGTGCACATTTCAAAATGCCGATTGCCTGCTATTTTATGAAGAGATAAGTATGTTCCAGGGTTAATCAGATTTTGGCCATTACCAAGTACCAAGTATATTTCTTTTCTAATTCTGTAATAGGAAAGAAGAAAATGCTTTCTCAATTCTTTTTAGCATGATTTGCACCATATGGTCTACTAAGTGCAGCCAGCAACCACTTTTAAATGCTACAGTTCTTTCACTGAGGCATTATTACCCCTTGTGTGATGAAAGTAATTTTATGTCTTCAGGAGATGCTCATATTCTACAAAGCAGAAAGGCCTCTCAGGACTTTGTTTCTAAAAATAGCTTACAGCCTTTCAAGAAGATGAAGGATGAACCTTTCAAGGGATAAGCTTTATTATTCTCTTTTTTACTTTCTTATTTGCATTTCTGGATCTGGAGGATCCTGTAGTAGTAAGCACTGGGAAACAAGTTTGGTTTGGTTGGGGTTTTTTTAACAGAATCCTCACTTGAAGAATTGCCAAACTGACTTCACATAGCTGTCATTCAACCTACACAGCTGAAAACTGATCTGCAGCGTTATCACAAGCCAATATGTGCTTAGAGATTTTCAGGAATACACTGAACTTTAAATCTCTTGGGCAAAATGTTGTGCTATTATGGATGGTAAAAGATAGTTTGTGTGGCTAATTAATAAATATGTAATTTTGACCTGGTTCTCAAGGATGATCTTTAAGAAGGGAAGCAGTTTTCTTTCGGAAGAACACTCCACAACCTTGTCTTTGCATCTAGCTTTGTTTCACATGTAAATGAATCAAAAGGTGTTTTGGTTAGGGCTTCTTTACTTCATGTTGTAGAAAATGAAGCAACTAATGAAAGAGAAGTTCTATTGAGAAGGTAAGATGGTTGCCCTGTTACAGATTTTAATCCATTTAGCAATCTCAAAAATATTCATATTAATTCTCTAAGAGCTCATTAACAAATTACTATGTTGTGGACATCTCTGCAGAAAAAAGAAAAACCTTCAGTCTACAACGTAAAGTCTATTGTACTTCTCTCTTTGATGTATGATATTTATGAAATGATACATACTTGAGAGCCCCTCTTTATGACAGCCCATCTGGAAGAAAATGGAAGATCACACAGGAAACATTTTGTGAGAATCTGGCATAGAGGACTGAAGACAGAATGCTACTAAACAGTTACTCTGCCTTAACTACTATTTTTTTGAGTAAGAGGGGGAGAGAGAGAGAAAGCGAGCAAGGTTTAAAGCTTTAATCTCATACACAAGCTTGTCAGAGCCCAAATCTATCTGTAATACTCTCCAAATCAGAATGAACTCAGAAAGATGACGTTCAATCTTTAAATCCTTCTCTGCAGAGCTATTTTTAACTCTCAGGTTCACAAAATGGATCCCTGCTGTGGCTCCAGAGCTTTCTAACGTGTATCCTACCTATTATGTTCGATACAACTACATGTTAGAATCCAGTTAGGCGTAGAACTAAAAGTTCTCCCTGCACGATTTCCTGTGCAGTGCAATAGAAATGACTCAACGTGACAGAACTCTACCACTGTCACTGATGGAAAACCAATTATCTCCTGGCCACTGTTATTTTCACTTCCAACAGTAACTCCAGTTCTAATATTCTGGACACTTCTGAGTAATTTTTTTATCTTCTTATTTTGCTTTCTCTTCCATAGGATGACATCGTTAGCCAGAAATATTGAATAGTTAACCATAAATATTGTCAAATAAGGCATTTTTTGTATCTCGAAACATTTCCTCACCAAATATATTTATTCAGTCCCTTCTAAATGAATTCTCAAACAATGTAAAAAGGATATTCAAGTCTTTGATACAATGATTATTGTCAACCATAATTCACCAGCTTTCTAAAACTTCCTGACCATTTCCGTTTTATTTTTGCTGGATTAGAACTGACATTTCTGCTCAACTATAGGTAAATAGGAGCAAAACACACAACTGTTTCAATGATCTGAACCGGGAATCATATAATAAGCCACAGTTGTTTCTTAGATTTGCAGCTGAATGCATTTATTACAGTAAATGCTCATGAACTAGCATAATTTTTACCAATGGGAACAGATTTCTGTTAATGACCTGAGGATATACACATATCTCCAAATGAAACTGCAGGCTGCATTGACTCCCTACAGCAAGAAAGTCTTCATTTACACACTTTGATACATGTAAATTCAGCAGAATAACATTTTGTAAACATGCTGGTATGAAAACAGAGCATTACAGTCAGGAAATTCTGCTAACTTTACATGACTTTGGGAAATCTTCATATGCCTCATTTTGGCATCAATTTTCTGGTTTAAGCTTTCCAGGAAAAAGTGTCCTATGGAATAATTCTGTATTTTAATCACTTTGACAAAGGTGCTGAACTGACACTGAACCAGCCCTGTCCTCTGGTGCTGTCAATGATTTATTCTGCCAGTTCACATCCCATTTTAAATATCTATCAATCAAAATATCTATCTTCTGGTTTGTTTCCTCAAGGACATTTCCTGACTTCAAAACTCATATTTAAAAATCCTTGATAATAACGCTCTGCTCTTGTAAAAGTTTAGAGAAATCTTCTCATCCTGATGCATCCTTCACATCTTGAAAGAAAGATCTATCTCTGTGTGGTATAAGATACTGAGTCATTAAAGCTGATATTCCAAAATCCTGTTGACTTAATCTGCATTCACCACTTTTATTTAAAGCCCATCAAGATCAATGGAAATATTCCCGCCAAGTTTCAGGTGATGACTTTTGGGACAAGGAAACCCAAGTCTCTAGAATACCATGTGCTGCTGCTTCCTAATGTTTAGACCTTGAACTGCAGACAGTCTTCTGTATGCTGTATTTTAAGAGTGATGAATGCTATTAGACCTCGTAGCAGCCTTCCAATATCTGAAGGGGGCCTACAAGGATGCTGGGGAGGGACTCTTCATTAGGGACTCTAGTGGTAGGACAAGGGGTAATGGCTTTAAACTTAAACAGGGGGACTTTAGGTTAGATATAAGGAAGAAGTGCGTCACAGTGAGGGTGGTGAGGCACTGGAATGGGTTCCCCGAGGAACTTGTGAATGCTCCAACCCTGGAGGTGTTCAAGGCCAGGTTGGACAGAGCCTTGGGTGACATAGTTTAGTGTGCGGTGTCCCTGCTCATGGCAGGGGGGGTGGGAATAGATGATCTTAAGGGCCTTTCCAACCCTAACTATTCTATGATTCTATTAACAGCATCACAGTAACTTCTTACTATTACACTTTCGTAAGGTCTTTGCTAGATAAAAGCCTGTCGATGAACCCAAAAGTAAAGGAACTGTGCAAAAGGCAAAGGAAACGGAAGAACAAAAGTAAAAAAACAAAAACTGAATCATGGTGACTACTGAAACACACTAGTCTCAGTTAGTAAGCAAGATGCAAAATCAGGACATTTGATGGAAGAAAGGAAGCATTTATGTGTGTGTGTGTATACATGCAGACATGCACACAGAAGTCACACATGCTCACTTACAGTCTACTTCCAAAATGGCACGGAGAGACTTGGCAAGGTCTCTCGCTTCTGCTGCAAGAGCTGTTGTGACAGTAGGTCCAGTCCTTCCCAACCGTGCGAGAAGTGCTTTAGTAGACAACGTTGATGTTCTGTCACTAAGAGAATAAAAATTACTAAGAATTTATCTGTAAGATTATAAAAGAAATGGTTACTTTTAATAAAGTAAAATTGTGTTTCTAGATTGGCTTTGGTCTCAATGTATGAATAAAGATTACCACTACCAAACTGACAAGCTTGTCTTAGAAGCAGTTGTGTCTGTACAATAAAGGCACTAGTAAAGTTTAATTCAAACAACATTAATGGCTCAAAATCCAGTGTCAAGAAATCAGTGGGCATCAGGAAAGTAACTTGCTTAAAAGTGATTTTCATATTAACATTTAAGAAGGGACACTGCTTTAGGGGACCCAATTCTTCTCTTCTATGCTGTTACCATATTTAAAACTTAAATTGATATACATGTATTCAATTTATGTATGTGCTACTGGATTAAGGATGATGCAAAACCGCTTGGGCAAACCTAAAAATAAAATAAAATAAAATTATAACCCGCTATTAAGGTTTCTTGCAATTTTAACTAATCCTTAACACATTATAATTACTTTATGGAAACATCCAGACAACCATAGCTATGTAATTACTAACTGCTTTAATTTAATTCTGAGGTTTTTAATGAAGCTGTATCCTGAAAGCCTCATTTATAATTCATGCCATTCCCTTTCTTCCAATAAAATGACACTGAGAAACATACAGCAAAAACTAGAGAAAAAATAGTTACAAGATGGGTTTTAGACTTTGAAACAATGATAGAGTTTTTCAATATTAATTTTGCCAGTTCAGTATTAATAACTACGCTCTTTCATTACCTTAAAACTGTTGAGGCAGTAGAGTTATCTGAAAGTATTTCATGCACAACCTGTTGGCCATAATCAAGAAGTTAAGAGTTTATAAACCAACACAGAAAAAAAGTTAGTACCTTATAATTGATGTCTATTTGGGTGTGGGGGATTTGATTTGTAATGAAAAAGTCTAGCCTCTGCCAGCTAGAAGTGTAAAAGTAAAAACCAAAATATTATAGCCACTTCAAATGAAGGGAATATAACATCACTCAGTTTCTATAACATTTAAATTATCATTAAATATTACTTTTTCATCTGGGAAACTTCACAGAAATTGATATGAGTTTTTGAAAAATTAGGTGGAAAAATTATCTGATCAGTTGAATTTGTTTAGTATTGCAAAAATAAAGATGAAGTAAATTCCTATACAGATCTGCACGCTTACATGCCATCTTTATTTCTAGCAATGAAAGGATCTCTGCAAACTAGTTATAGTCAGTTTACTATGTCTATTCCTCAGAAACATCAACGCAAAAGTTTTCCAAATAAAACACTGCAAGAAATGAAAGGCAAAGTTACCTCTACAAATTGTAGTAATTTTTCAGTAGCCACCTCAAAGGTCTTCCTGGCCGATTCAGACTTCCGCAGCTGGCAGTCAAGCACTGTAACTCTCTTTCTCAAGTCTTGGATATTATCCTGAGAAAGATATTTTAAGGCTTTTATTCTAATCATCTTCTCCTGAGGCTCCCATAGATACTTGGTGTGAATGGAAATGGATGTCTGAAATGTTTAACACACACTCTTTTCTATGTTCCTGACAAACACGGCTGCTCCTGAGGCAGATATACGTGACCTGCTAGTAAATTGGCTCCCACACTGTTAACAGGTTTGGACAAAATGATACAAAGGTAAATTGAAATTGGCAGCTAACAACAGTGATAGGGCTGCAACTTCAGTTTGAACTGATTCATGAATGGATCAAAAATACCAACCTGATAATGGTGACAGTATCTGTCAGCAGGGTGGCGTAAACAGCCAGTATGTGAACAAACTCAGTCTGCTGGTTTGCATCCGTACGTCCTTTGGCCAACTGAGCAATTATGGCATCTCTTGGAGAAAATTACCCCCTAGGATTTCTCTACATGCTCTTGTATAACCTATTGATCAGTGTTATGCATCTCTCTGTACTTAAGCTACAGAGAATGTGACCCCCATTAGATCAAGTTCTGGAGGCTCAAAGTGTCAGCTTGAGTCCCTGGCGCTGTTTGTGCAACAGGACCACAAGTGCAGTCTTCACATGGGCATATTTGTTTAACTAAGCTGGCTGCTGAACAGATCATCCACACCAAAATACTCTAAAAAATTAAGAAAATATCATTACCATTAAAAATAAATTTTTACACCCCTGTAGGCAATCTTTTCTGAAAGCCCACCATCTACGATAAAACCCTTACAAAAAACCCCACCAAAACCCATTTATTGCCTTTACTTGAAGCAAATGAGTAGACACATCTGTTTGTATACACTATACAAAGCAGCAACATCATGGTCACTCTGAATGTCAAAGAACCTGTGGATTAAAACACCTTTTTTTGGCAATCTGTCCACGTTGGGAGAAGCGGCTGTTAAGCCCTCACAGGTACCTCATTCTTTTATACCAAGAAGAGTTTACTGCAGAATTGACACTACCTAGAGCACACTACTTACTCAATACTGCTTCTTTTGAATAAGAATTGCAGAGAATCAAACCTCAACTCAGACATTCAAGTGCTCATTCAGAATTTCAGGAATTCAAGCTAGCATCTCAAAACCAAATCTCTGAGAAAGCAACCCACATGCTCTGAATTTCTTAAAATCCTGATATTTATTCAAGTCCTAGAAAACAAACAGTGCTTCAAAAATACCAGACATTAAAGATGGGGCATCTCACCCAGAAAGAAGAACTTCTAGGGTGTGATTCATCTCATCACACACACTCATGATTAGATGAGAGGAATTCCTCCCTGGGAGCTACACATACTCGCTATGTTGCTTCTTGGCAAGCTTGTATACCACAGAGCTCAGTTTTAGCTTTCAATACCTTGTAATATTGACTTAATTCTCATGATGAAATAAGGCAACATTTCAGCAGGTTTTCCTCATCAGTTCATATGCGCATCCCTTTCCCAGAAGGAAAACAAGGTAAACACACAAACACCAACCTGCCTCCACTTGTTCAAACTGTGTGTAGAAAATGGATCTGCAATTATGGGGAAAAGTTTAGAAATGCTTCAAATACTTTATTCCTTAGTGTGTTCTGAAATGCTTCCCTGGAGATGAAGTGGTTTGAAAATACAAGGCTCAATTAAAAAGGTTGTGGGTTGGGTTTGGTTTTTTTCTGCAGGATACTGTTAGTAGCATTTAAATGGTTATCTTGATGAAATCTAAATTTACTTAAGAAGACTACTGGATTTTAGACTGTTCTTATTTGCCTTACAGAAACATAAATATGATGGCCATTTTTACATAAACACAAAAGCATACAAATATACGTATAGTCTTTAAAGATAACAAATCTGCAGTCTGGAAACTATTCCATGCTTTAATGCTTGACGTGCCACTTTAACCTATGACCCACATATGCTTCCAGCTCCTACTTTTCCAGCCCAAAGATACATGGATAAAGGAAGACACAATAAACTTCACGTTACCCCCTTCACTACGCATCATTCCAGTTATTGAATAATACAAGACAAACAGTGACCTACTTTAGAAAAGCAGATGAAAAGAAAATGAAAACAAGATACATGACAACAGCAGGGAAACCATGGTAACTACCACCAGTGACTGCTTTGCTTACTTTATTTTGGCCAGAATGATCTGTGAGCTGAGCCTTCAGCTCTACAATTTCAGCTTCCAACAGGCGAATTACTTCTTCATAGTCCATCTCCATTCCCCGAGCCTGCCTTTGTGCAGCTTCTGCAAGATGAATCCTACTTCGCAGGGCTCTTGTCTCTTCTACAGCTGCCTTGGCTTCCTGTAGATGATAGAATTTAATTCAGAAGTTACAACTCCAGCTAACAAAGTAGAACAGATTTAGCTCAAAAGTGCTGCAGCTGGCATTAGAGCTACCTTCTAATATTTATGGTTAGTTGGTTCAATTGCTAGCTTTTAAGTGTAATATATGCAAACAAAGAACAGGTATTTACAGAAAGAGATGATTTTCCTAATAAATTAAATCATAAGTTCTGTGATTATTGTAAATCTAATTGATTAAAAGGCTTTACAGAAACACACCTGATGCTGTTGATCTGCCCATCACTTCCATACTAAAGAAAGCACTTTAATGAGATGTTACTTCATTTTATTATTATTGCCTGAATTCACACTCAATTCAGAGTTCACACATCATGTAGGTGGAGTTCTAATGCAAATAAATATTCAGTCCACACTACTCTCAAGTAGGCGTTGGGTTTTATTTCTCTGCCTAGTTCCTGCTCTTTTATCGTTATCCTGTATTACCACAGAAGAGTGTTAGATACAAATTATATATAAATAATGTACGGAAAATCAAGATATTAGAAACTGTTGGCTTGAATTCAGCTAAAGTAATTCCTAACTGTAGTAAAATCTGATTTCAAGAAGGATATTGCTCAGTTCATTTTACTACTGAGTATTAATTCAAGTTAACTTTGTTTTGTAAATTTAGAAAGTCAAACTAAAGGTCTGCTGAACAGATGAGTTTACACTAGGAAAAAACAAACAAACTGCTCATCAAAAATACAGACATAAAGGCTCATTGGCACCAAAACCAGTAATCCATCTTTCCCTCAGCTTTTGATGAATCTCTGGAAAAAGTCACTTTATATGAATTTTCTGAATCATTAAAGTTATAAATTTAAATACACAAATTCACAGAGCTAGACATTCTCTGCACAAATTCTTTAGTGAAGGATACTCAGGTGAATATCCTACTCCTAGTCTACCTATTGTATCTTATCAAAGCTGTATCTGGTTGGGAATGGAACTAGTGAGAAACAGGCAGGAAGAAGAAAAGGAAAACCCTATGAATCTATAATAAGTAGGAAATAACTTTCTAGAAACTAATGTTGAAATGACAGTTTCTGGAAAAAACTGAATGACCAAATCTTCCTATTTTTATGGAAGAAAAGTCATACAATATTTAACAGGTGTCATAATACAACTGTCTAGCGAGGTTAGTGAAGCTTACAAAAGCAGATTTAATTCTATTCTTTCCTAACTTAAAAGCATTTGTTCTGTAAAAGCCACATCCTTCAAGTCAGGTTTTCCTATACTTTGTCATAATGTAAAATGATCTACCAATCTCAGACTCTGTAACTTTTTAACCTGTACACTGTTAGTCTTAAAAGACAATATATGTTTATTTCAAGCCATAAGTAAACTAATCTCAACGACATATATATATATATAGAGGACATCACCTTCCTAATATTTACAAGGGTTTTGCAATATAATACCAATTTGGATGATTGCCAGGGACATTCTGGTCTCTTGGAAAATAAAGTATAATACAAATCATCACACATGTAGCAAACAGCAACATCATTAGTGAATCTACATGACATTGGTGTTATGTAGTTTAGAGGTTTCTGTTATAAGAACACAAGTGATAAGAGATATATTTCAGTAACCTTTAATTTGACAGCAAGTATAATTACTCCCCCCCCCCCCCCCGCCTTTTTACTTTCAGGAGCACAAGGCATTAGATGAGCCTATTCTACGTGATGATCACCTCCACCTGCAAACACAGACTTTTGAACAGCTTATCATTGCATGTCTTTCTGTTATTCGGCTAGTTTGTAAAGACAGCTGTCTGTCCACACGGCACTAAAAGCAGTGCAAGAGGTTATTACTGAAAGCACTCAGTGAAAGACCACCGGAACAATCCAGCCCTCCTGCAAGCTGCTCATAGGTGTTCTTTTTCCTAGAAACGATTCAGAGAACACAGGGGCTTCTGAGAAGTTATGAACCTATAAAATAGAGGACAAAATTACTGCCTTGGTACAGGGCATTTTCTTGCTGCTGTAAGAAGTGGTGTGAGTCAGCAGCAAGAAAAACTGGGCCCACTAATACAGAGGATGATGGGTTAGCAAAGGTATCCTTCAATAATAGGCTGGAGGTGGGAAAAAGACTTTCAGAGACAAAAGTGAAAAGATGGTCTGGTATTAAATCGGACTAATATAAATGAACATAGAGGCCTTGACAAAGGGTGGCTTGTTAAAAATGCACACATAGGAATTATCTAAATAAACTGACATCAGAAAAGTCATGGGAAAATTGCTGTAATGAAAAGGGAGGTCTTAATGTTGAAATAAGACCTCCTTGAGATAAAGGTTTAATCTCTTATAATCCAGAATTGCCTTCACTCCTCCATTGTTTTTTCAGAAACCCAATTGTTGAATATTAATTTCTCTCTAATTGCAGACTAAGTATGACCAGATTTCAACAGTGAAAGACCTAAAGGAATAATTAATGAACAATGGATTCTTACATTACAATGAAACGATTATCCACACTACAACTGAACTAGCAAAATTTCCTGACAAACCAGAGCTGTTTGTAGAGCAGGGAGGCACAAGGGGAAACGATACCATCAGGCTTCCCCATTCTACAGTTACTGAAGCTGGCATGGTGGTGCTTGCTCTTATGTAGATGAGGGGCCCCCACCAGTGAAGAACAGATGGATAAGAGCACGCTTCAGCAGCATCTTCTCTTGTCCTGTTCAACTGCTTGCATGAAAGAAGACGCAACTGAAATGGAATCTGCAGCTGCTAATATTTCATCTCTACAAATGCCTGATGGGACCATTTGTCCTAATCTGGTATGAAGCCACTACAAAAAATAAGAAACTGCAGGCTTGATGAGAGCAACTGAATCAGTTTCAAGGTACAGATCTCTTTGAAAGCCAGGTTCTAGTTCTTCCTTGGATAAATTCGAGCATTGGTAAGAGTTTATCGATGTTATATTCCAGCCACCACAAACACTGCAACAAAGGTATTCTTTTAAACGACATGAAAAATTGTAGTTACAATTGAATTATATTTATTCATTAATTTTAGCAAAATTATATGCTGAAAACATCCTTTAAAAGAACATAGTGTATTTTTACTATGTCTTAAAATTAAAAAGCTAATGAAACAAAAATAAACCCGATACTTCTTTCAGGCATGGTGAAATGAATTTTATATTGCTTCTAAAAAAGCACCCATTCAAGTCCTACTCTTCAAAGCACCTCTTTTCCCCTTAGAAAACATAAGCACAGAATAGCAAATCTTAGCCCTATGAAATACAAGTCCAGCACTATGGGATACCACAAACAGTATCCTACCTTTACAACCTTTCACATTTACTATATTCAGCTGAGGCGTTTCAGTGACAATAACTGCACCAAAGAAGCTCGACTGAAGAAGAGATAATTCAGGTGGGTATGACCCAGGATTTTCAACCACACAGAATACAGGCAAACTCATCCAGGAAGATAGAAGGTATCATTACAGATCTCACATTCATGGTGTTGACAAGACTTCAGGTACCCAAGTGTCTTTCTATGCTTTGTGCCAATTTCAGCTTCCATATGATTTCAAGGAAGACCCAAAGATAGAGCTACATCACAATCCTAAAGTAAAAACGTAGCAACTAATGTATTTTAATTCTCACAGACCAATATTAAAATGATTACTACCTCATTTCAAATTCAGCAATATTTCTAATCTTAAGAGTTCGTTTATGCTGTCAGCTACTGATTCATGCACTGTTTAATGAATCGGTACTAACAAAACATGTTCATTAACCAGAACTTTTATATGCGTGTCCTAATTAAGATGTAATCTCTGCAATTCACAATTAGTTGACAATAGAAATACCACAAAACATATGACTGGTAGCCTGTATCTTCATTTAAAACATTGCTTTTTCAGGAAAGCAGTGATTTAAAAAGCAAAAAGTTTAAATTATATCGAATTCAGAAGACCATATGCACATACTTGAGCCAGTTCGTTAGTTTTCTTTTAATCAGGCCGCTAGGGCTCAATAATGTACCCATTAATTCACTTCAGCTCAAGCTCAAGCAGTAATGCATCATCATAAGGTATATGGCAACTTGTACTCCAAGTAGCCTATTTTATTTTAAACTTCATACCACCCTGAATCTCAGCACTGGTTCTGAACCACAGAAATATATGTAAAACACTTGAAAATGCACTCACGAATAAACTGAACTGAAATTCCCATTAAAAGCATGCCTGTATCTCCTAAAATAGTGCTGTAATTACTTATAATTTATTATTTCTCTTTCATTTCACTATGTGGAACCTTTTCAACAGCATTCACTTAAAATTCCTACTAGAAAATCAGAGTACTTATCCCCTGGAGGGTTGCGCTGCAAAACTGACCTACGCCACCACGATAGTACTAGAGAGAAAAATTAAAGTTCGAGGACCTCGTGTGGTAGAAAAAAGGAATTGCTGCCACTTAGAGCATCTTAAACCACTTTTGGCCAAGTCCACCTTCACAGTAAGAGCAGGTCTGCGAAGTGAAACACCCGATGCCGAGGACCTGATGTATTTGCTGTCTGCATTTTGGGGTTTGTACTAGCTTTAGTCAAGACTGGTAGACTGAACATCTGCTCTGGTCTAGAGCAACAGATTGAACACCCATTAGTGAATGGAAACAAGAGGTACACTACCAGTTAAATTTTATCCAAAAAAGAATCCATTTTATTTCCCTGCTGTCCCACAATGACAACATCACAACACTCATGGAAAAAGCCTTCAAGCAGTTCTCTTATATTCAAGGTCATAATGAAGGTGCTGAGGAAATCTACATACATGCACAAAATTGTGAACATAATCTTAATATAACACTATACAGATTTTTAACCTGTATCTTGCATCTTCACATATGGCATCGGATGGAACAGCCATGAGAAACCTATAAGGAATACATATTACAGTACAGAAAAGCAGAAAGGCAGCCAGATCATAAGAAGAAATGAGCTGACAGGATGATATTCAGTAGAAGTGGGCAACAGGCAAGTTACTTTGTTTTTGAATCTAGGCTTACATGGATTTACATATAATTGGAAATTTCCCTAAAGAGACACAAGAAGGCTATATTTCAATCAAAGATTTCTTCTCTCATTGATAGGTACGGAGACATAAACAAGACATTCTTCACAGAACACTTACTACCATTCTTTTCCCGGTAAGCATCAGGTAGAATTGTCAAGTGCGTCTATTTTTTCATACTTAAAACTCTGGTTGACATATGAAGTAGCTAATGTTTGGTCTATAGATTAGGCACACTCTTGCCTAAGAACAGGAAAATCACTTCAAGAACACTTAAGACCAGACAGGTACTACTACATTATTATCCAACTTACCTGATCCAGGTTATCTTACGGTTTTCTGCCTCAAGCAGAGAATTATTGCTCTAAAACCTTAAGAATCAATATTCTCCAATTCTAATCAAAAGCTTTGTAGATACAAAAGAACCCCTTTATGTTGAAATCACTGGAAAAAGTATGGTCTGTATGAGACTCAAGAAAGAAATGCTCCCTTCTCACATAAACAACAGTTTTTAAAGAAATTTCAACATACTTGCTTGATGATCTGTAGCTGCTCTGTTAACTGCTTCTCTAAATTCATGGATTCAGACAATTTTTCCTGTTAAAAGAAGAAATAATTAATAATCAGGTCTGAAATCAAAGAGTTTTTATTCCTAAAATCCAATTAGCTCTTTCACAACTACAGGTAGCAACACTGAAGTTCTATCAATGTACTTACTGCCTTGTAGTATGTTTCTAGGCCACAATGTAAGCCTGTTATTAATGTTGTATAATCAGAAACACACATATTAAAAAAGTTCTGGTGGAAATAATAATCAACAGCTTTTATAGAACCTGTGACAAAACTATATTTTAATATCTAAAAGCTAGTTTTGCATAGAGTTCATTGGTAACTGTTTAAGTTTCTCGGGCATTTGAGGATTATTCACTGATCGTGTCTGTGGTATATGTAAAATACACATTCAATATTGAATCAGAATTTTTTATCTTTCTGGGTTGTCAAAAAGCACAGGACAATGGTTGTAACCCAAGGTGTCAAGAAACAATAAATATATTTGTGGCTCTGGGTCTTACGTATTTTGTAATGTCTGTAAAAATATGTATTAATTCGGAAAACAGATTAATCTATCCTCCAGTTCTGACTTCTTTTGAAAGTATCAGCAGATGCTCAGAAACTGCAGTTCCCAGGATCACACATTTCTAAATAAAATTGCTATGCAAATCACTCACTTCTCCAAATTCACTTTTCTTAAATGTCTGCTTAGTCCCATTTCGCTGTGAATCAGATTAAAAATGCTCTAGTATTCAGTATAACAAATAAAACGGACTGTCTCCAAAAATACATTGTAAGCAAACAATCTTCAAACATTACGGCTGTTTGCTTTGCCTTTTTATGTATTCATCAAAAAGAGCACATTAAATTCAAAAGAAAAACAGTAAGTTACTATATACACTCAAAAAGAAATCAGCCTCTTGAGCAAAGAGAAATTAAGTATCACCTTTAATTTACTCATTTCTTTTAAAGCATCATTTCTTTCTTTCTTGAGTCTTTCCACATCGTCATCCAAAGAATCACAGGTTACAATCTGTGCATGTTTAAATACTAAAGGTTAGAACATTAGAACTGTATCCTCCATAAACTTTCACATCTTAATAGGTCTTCTTAATAAAGTAAGAGAATAATCTTTATTTTAAAATAATTTAAAGCTCTGAAAATACTAAGAATCTTTGAGAATTCTGCCCAACTTATCTTCCACAGGAACAAATATTTTTCCTGTTAAAAAGGATTAATAATAATTTTTAAAGTACCAGGATTACAACACTAACAGCCCCTGTTTTCTTCAATATTTCAGTATATACATAATTTTATTTTAGTATTCCTATGCTGCAAATGTTCTTTCTTAAAGTCACCCCCAGAATAAAGCAATTTTTATTACAGCAGTTGTTCAAATCACCAGGCCCAATAATTGTTCATCGCTCACACAGGTAGTAGCAATATGTATTCCATTAAGAAACTTCAGTAAATCACCGTTGTCCATACTTACAGCAAATTACAATATAATAATGTGAATTGCTTTCTGCAAAGTAGGTTGCTTTAAAAAGCTTCACAGGAACTAGGTTATCTTAAAGAACACTATGATACGGAGCTGTTCTAAATATCTGTCCAAAAATTGGAGTAATCTTACATGTAATAAGCTCTCCATTAATCTCCTCCCAACAGTTAAACACTGTACAGGCACGTATTTTACCTGTGAATTCAGGAAGCTGGCAATTTCATTGACTCCAAGTGTTGGAGATTTTTGGCCATCATCTGTTGCATTCAATTGCGCAGTGAGCAGATTCTTTGAAACTTCAATGAAATCTGAAAAGAGATTAGATTTTGTTGCTGTATTTCACAAGTTCCATTTAGTAGCAGTATCACTAAATACAACACAACTACTAATACCACAGCGTAAGGCTACTCTTTTATAAATGCAGCGTCTGCCCTCCATAAGATTTCTCAAGGAAAACATGAAGATCAGACACATCCCTCTGAACACAAAAATTTGGTAATGATGATAAGAACAAGAACAAAAATATTTAACAGAGATCTTGGGATAAAATATCCCTGAATCAAGCTGTGAAGGAGAACAGAAAATGTGAAGTTCAAATTCCAGTATCCTTCTTGATAAGGTACTTGAAAATCCAGTGTCTTTTTGGGTGGTTAAGTACAGAAGTTATTTTTATATCCTAGTGTTTAATGCTGTTTTTCTTAAACTTTAGGGAAAGTGAAATTTCCATCAGTTTTAGCATCAGAACTATCATGTCTCACAGTTTATAAGAAATATTCTTAAATTTTTAGTGTCACCTACCAAAATTGTCATAACCAACAGAAGCAACTCATTCCCATCAGAATTAGACTTAACTAGAAGAACCATCACGTTAAGTCTCCATGTAAATCTCTTTCCATATGCAATAGTTAAAATGTTCATGCTTCTCGCAAACTAAAGAAGTTAAATAATCTGTCAGTGTCATTCCCTCAGGAAGTCTCTTTAACCATGAATACTGTCCCAAGTAATTTTTGGAACAATTATCCTACTGTCAAGGCAAAAATTCAGGAATTTGTGAGCACAAGTCCCAACTTTCTCAAGGCTGCTCTTATTAGACAAATTTGAGATTTGCTTCCGAATTACTTAGTTTCAGAATTCCAAGCTTATTTTTATACAGGAGAATAAAAAAAGCCTCAAAGTATCATTTTATTTGCAGTAGCAACCCAATAGACAGAAAAGATATTAATGGTTATTATCTATCATCATTTCTATATTCCCACATTTCATTTTTTTCCATGGTAATTAACAAATTATTACCTCCAAAAGACACTGTTCCTTTAGAATCTTTCTGAAGTTGCTGCCTTAGGGCTTGCTGCTGTTCATCTGTGGGCTGAATCCCAAGATAATTCAATGCCTGGAAGGAGAAAACTTAATTTGGAAAAAAAAAAAGAAAGGACTAGGGATAATGACTGCAGGGACAAGGGGGAGTAATTAAAGAGCTATACTTCAAAGAGCTTTTGTTTCATAGTAGTCTCACTGACAACACTTTTATTCCAGAGACACTCTGTGACTTTTCCTTCTAATTGAGAGATATTCGGATATTATTTAACCTTGAATACAGATGAGTGTAATAAGCAAACCCCTTTGTCCTTAATAACTGCCTTAAAAATCCTGAGGGATGTTCAGATTCCCAGAAGAATCAATCAGTAATTAGATTAACAAAAACAGTAATTTGCCCAATACGTAAAATGAAATGTCAGCCTGCAACCTGAGAGAACTATTCAAACAGAAAATTTGGTGTACAATTCATACCTTACACTTTGCCAGCCTAGAAACAGTCTCCAGATGTTTTACATGCATCATGAAGGGAGAGAAAGGAAAACTCAAAAGATTACAAGTATTTACCCTCTCCAGCTTTTCTGCTTTGAGACGAATAGTAGAGTTCCTCCCTTGCAGCTCATAATCATCATTCTGGCTGGGGGCAGTAACTAAGCAGAAAATAATTAACATTAAATAATGATACAGTTGTAACTATTCCTTTGAAAGATTTGTTCTGAAGACCTGCTCATCAAAAGGATGGCAGTTAAATACCCATTTGCCACAAATAAATGTTAATATTTAGATTGACTCTTTTTTTTTACAGGACATAATTGTAACAAACAGAAATTATGAGCATCAATCACTTAAAACTGGCTTTTCCCATCAAAAAGTGACAAGCAGCAAATTAGCAGAAAGAAACCAGAATAACTTTGATTGATCCATGAAGCATATGGCTTATACTTGTGGTATTTTCTCTTCTCTCAGAGATACACAGTTACTCTGGAAACAGAAGGGGAAACACACTTGTGAATTCTGAGAAAGACCTTCAAGACACACCCTTGGCATAATCAACAGTTCCCAAAAGCATATCTAGTGATCTGGAAAACACTGAGGAAAGAGAGGGAATGACCTGTTTCCAACTGAGGGCTGTAGCTTAGACTGAATTCCAGTACTTTTTTCCTGGGAAGGAACTCTTTTTACAAGAACTATCGTTCATTAAGCCATCATCCCTCATCCCTCCCCTTCTCCAGTCCTCACAGACTGAGCAGTTTTAGCTAGTTGCATTAACAACTTAGGGTGCATCTATTTTATTTCCAACATACCCAAATGATTAAGCTGAGGAAAGGAAAAGAAGTTAGCAGCACCAAACAGTTCATATGCAAGATTTCAGAGTAACTGACCTCTTTTTTGTGTGTGTGTGTCACAGCTTTGTTATGTTTCAGACACACATACGGATACAACACAAGAAGCAGCAACCTTTGGAAGCTTTTGATCACGCACAGTAAGCAAAAGGAGCAGCTAACTATCAATTTCCTTGGATTTTCAATGTATGTAAATAGAACAAATTCATCGACTAGTTTTTTTCAGAAGAAAGTGGAATACTTGTTTTCATTCATTATTTATAAATCTAACTTTTAATTATTTCATTAATGGACCAGAGTGGTACTGAAAAAACCCCAGCATTTGAAAACTAAAGGCTCTTGCAGTTTGAGATTCTCTCTGAGGGAACAGAAGGAATCTCACAGAATTTTTTCCCACTTTCACAGCTATCTGTTTCCAAGCTCAAAGTAATTTACATTCTCTTTCTTTGCCAAAAGCATAAACCAAAACATCTTGAAAATCTGACACCAACACCTCTCACATGCTATATTAAATTCTGAAGACAGTGGGCTAGAACCTCAGCCGAATTGGCACACGTCCTTTCAGCTCAGAATGAAACAGCTTTGTGTATGAGTTTGTGCAAGAATTTCTTAAAACTACACTGATTTTTCTTACATTATTAAGAAAAAATCACCTAAGAGCTACTCCGATTTTTCAAGGTTATCTCTGAAAGTTAAGCCTTGAAGACGGGCAGCACGAGAGAGCACATAAGGATGTGCTATTCAGTAAGACTAAAATTTAAAATGACAAGAAACAGCACAAACTGGAGCTGCAGTATTTCTGCTTTCCACTCTACTAGATAAGTTGTTCAGGTATGTTAAAGAACTGTGGCCTTCTTGGTCTTGTTAAGCAACAGTGATGCTTCTGTGTATTGCATTATATTAAGCAAGAGTCTCATATTCTGAATACATTAAAAAATAGCCTTTTGTCTTGTTTCTCTGATTTAGTTGTGGTGTTTTTCATGATCGATATGAAAAAAAAGTGTGATCATTAAACTCCAGATGGATTCAACACTACAACCTTTCCAGTTTTAAAAGTTCACATCCCGTCAGCTCACCCTTCAAGGAAGGAAGCCAACTGCTCAGATGTGCAATATGGAGACTGTTTCCTTTTAAATTAGGAGATCTAATAAGTGACATGATAAATAGTTAAAATTTAAATAACATCTAGAATCTGTCAGATCCTGTATGTTTGTCCTTCCTCGTCTCTGTATATTAGACATCAAGTTGAGAAACACAGGTTATGCTTACAAACTACTGCCTGAAGTAAAATAATAGAGTTGAGGTCTTTATACAGACATACAGAACAGAATCAGTTCTATTACTGTATCAATTGAGACTCATTATTATATCCAACTACAGCATTTTCACTGTTTATAAATACAACACATTTGTTCCCCAAAGGAATTACAAGTGTTCAGCTTAGATTTGGTTCTGACCAGTTTCTACAACCTCTATTTCTCCTTAGTGTTGGGTTTGGGATTTTTTCAAATATATAAGCAAAGTGACTATTGTCTTTGTTTGAATGTCATGACTCTTAAATATGAACACACACATATGTATTCTATTTGTTATTAATTGAAGAACGGTCTGCGTGTTATTTCTATCCTTCCAGTATGCAGCCCTGAAAAAAGAACACCACAAGCAGTATACATCCACAGAATCTCATCAGATCAAGAAAGCACAGTTTCTATGGTAACCTAATCTTGATCTATATGTGAGTCTTCATTATCTGGTTTCTACTGAGTCTATTATCATTACTGCTGTATAGCAAACGTTGTGATCACTCATTTGGTTTCAGCTGTTTGTTAAAGACAATGTAAGTTATATTTGACAGAAGCTGCTAAACAAACCATTGATCTTGGTCCTTTATTTAGTACTATAAAATCAGTGCAATATTCCTTTTTTTAAAGACTATCGAGTCTCACTCTGTACTATTTTCTCTGTGGCAGTTACTGAAGAAAAAAAAAGGGTGGCAAGGAATTAAATCAGCCTTTACCAGTGGCAGACACATCAGTAGGATTGCTGTCTAGAGAAGTAACTGGAGAATGCTCTCCCGTCTTGCCTCCAGTTTCCATCTATGAAAGAAAAGCAAAAGTCATGTAATACCATTTCTAAAGCAGATCACAAGCCAAACTAGAAATACACATTAATGTAAATGAGAGGGAGAGAAAAGAAGACTTGGGGAGAAATAGGGCTGGATAGATCAAAACAGCCGTAGGAGAAAATGGAACGCATAGGGAGGTTGGGAGGTGAGAAGTAATGCTGTTCAATATAGTTAGATCAGGGCTTATCAAAACCTTAGTTTGGTTTTGAGTATCTTCACAGCTTAAGACAGCACAGTCTCTGTAGGCAACCTGCTTCCATGTTTATATCTCAAACAGGAAAGAAAAATGGGCAAGAATTTTAAGTACAAATGTAAGAACAAGTGAGAATCACCTGCCTTGACTATGTGTTTGACATGAAGCATTTATTCTTTCTTGTTCAAAGACAAGACTTTGTTTAGTTTTAAAATTGCAATAAGTTGAATTATATTTTTTTATTGAAATAATAGTTTTTAAATCTCATTTCTTATAGTCCACATTATTAGCTCACACTAATAGCGAGCTGTATGAATTAAAGCAATTGTTGCTTAGCCAAAAGAAAGGGCATAAACTCCATGTTCTTCTAGGACTCTGATTTTTAAGTAAAAAATCACAGAGGAAGTGTAACTTGTGAGCTCGTATTGTACTCGCATATACGAAGCGATCAGAGAGTACTTTATCTCTGAAATATATAACTATATATACACCTAATTCTAAAACTTTACTCCTCCAAAGGGAGAACAACTTTGCATCTCAAGACACAGCTGATGCTTATTTTATTTGATTTGTTGTCTTACTATAAGTCAACTAATATTCTAAATCCTCTCATCAGCGTATTTTACTCTACTGATACGCAACATGTTTTCTGGAAAAGTCTTGATGACTGCCAGGAAAAAGAGACAGTCATTTTCTTAGTAGAATGGAAACAGAATTAAAATAACCCTATACTGAAATTCCAATGAAGTTAGGAAAAACAACCATTTGCTCACTTTATACTAAGAGGAGTAGTAAGTATACTCACAGCATTTGGAATGAATGTTGGAACAAGCTTCCCATTAGGAGATGCAAGAGAACTAAGTACTGCACCCTGCTGGTCTCCATACGCTATAGATGATGTTAAAAGGCTGGAGGGACGTTGCAGACTCTCTAAATAACTGGGAATATTTTTTTGCCTGATAAAAGCTATCTCCCAAAAACTTTCAGACCTAAAATTAAACAAAAAAGTTTCAACATATTTTGCACTGTCCTGTTGGCAAGATTCCACACTACTCTTGCAAAAATCATGTTTTCACAAACACCATTTGTGATTTTATTCACTTATTATTCTAAAAGGATGTTCTATTCCTCATCGTTAAAAAGGCAAATACTGTGGGTTTGGGTTTTGTTTTTTCTTTCTAAAGGAACGAAAGTATCGTAATAATAAAAGTCTAAAAGATGCATTTGCATCTTTTTCTAGGAAATAATATTGCAATTGAGTATTTAAAACATTCAATATCCCTTGCATTTTCTCTGAGTACACGTAAGAAGATACTTCATATAAATCCGATCATAAATGTCATATAATAACCATTTTGGAGGGTTACCAGATACCTCATCTTTGTTCTGTTGATTATACTTTTTGCCTCTTCATAGGAGACACCAATCATTGACTCCTTGTTTATGGATACAAGTTGATCTCCAGGCTTCAATCGTCCATCCTAACATAACAAATAAAAAAGCAAACCCACAACATTTATATTAACAGTATAGAAAGAACTACACAATCACAGCACTTCAACATATTCCTCTGGATTGGTGAAGACAAAAAATACCAAGTACAGATACATGTTTTGCCTGCCAATCTTCCAGAAATAAACAGATCAAATGATCATTTAATCACCAGGATAGCAGTAATTAGAAAAGCTTCATCAGACAGAATGGATCTCAGATATTGTGTAAAGAAGAAATTTGGACCCAGAGACGTATTTTTGTTAAATAAACCAACCACAGATAGTAATTTTTCCAGCAAGGAGTACTAACCCATCTGACTATGGGAAGGTTCTTTACTAATTCATTCAGCTGTGAGCTGGATTAATTTGTATTTCAAAACCAAATGTTCTTGGCTATACATGGGACTCTTCAGGCACTGACCAGCCATATTCATCCTCATGAGAAAACCAGATTAGTCTATTAGAAATTCACCAGTCAAAAATGCAATAGAAACAATATTATCTTTGTGCTTCTGCTAAATTCATTGCAAACATTTTACAAGACAGGAACATATCACATTTCTCTCTTAGAAACTGTAAGACAAGACTTTAAACACACAAGGCTAGATTTCTCACTATGATAAAGCTTTCTTTACTTACATTTTAAAAGAGGCATCAATAAGTTAACTGAAAATTCATGTAATTCACCTGTGGTTACAGAGTTAGTTAGGACATTTGGCTAAGAAAATAAATTAAATATAACCTGTCTGTGTTCTTCATCTTCTGAGAAATTAATCACAGAATCAATCTGACCATATGATACAAACTGTGCACAGAAGATAACACATATGAAATAAGTAAAATACCTTTCCAAGACCACTATACCTTTACATATTTAATACCCGCTTACCAGGATTTCAGCTGTGTTATTTCAAACCTATGGCAGCACTTTACTATGTTTTTTTCTGTCACTTAGTGTTTTGGTTTTGATTAAAGAAAATGTTGTAGATCTTTTATTGCACTTGCATCCAGCCTATTAAAATATATCCATTTCAATGCTGCCCTCATGTGGCACACATTGAAAATACGCCTTCTACTTGGGTTTGTCAAACAAAATAACCTGGATTGGGAAATTACCTCTACTCCTGCTAATATTAGAACCTACTGCAAATTAGTGTCTGTCTATTCATTATGAGCAGTAGGCTTTAAATTATATATTTACAATCAGAAAACATATTTTAGAGACTACAACACAATAGAAGAAAAGAAGAATGACCACCATTTATCTACTAAACGTCTGAAGAAACATTGCACCTTTTCCTTCCACCTTGGCATTTTAGGATTAACCTAAGTGCAGCCACAAATAGTTATAGACTCTTTTGGGGCAAAACTCATTGCCTGTGAATTTAATTCACACCTTCTTGCTTGGCAAGAGGCAAAACCTGGTTATCTACACATCAAATAACCATAACAACTCAGGATGCAAAAGGAGACACTTGGATAAACAGTTGTATGTACTTGAAACAAACAACTATTTGTTTATCAAAACTGACAAGCCCTCTTGATTTACATACTGCACTTGTCATAAATGAAAAATAATAGGGACTGATTCATACATTTTATCAGTCTGTCCTATTTGTTTCCTGATTTGCCTACATAAAGCTTTCCAACTGCAAGGATCCAGCTAAGTGAAGTCTGAGGGAAAACTGACTTTTGACTACCAAAAAATGAAAGGAGAGATGCAGTCTGTAGCTTTGTCCCATCCTTGCTGATTTACTTTGCATCATGCAACCTCTTATAGAGGTTGGTTTCTCACTTTCTCATATGTAAACTGGGGAATAAGATCCTCGTTTGCCTCAAACGAACTCATGAATAATTTTCATGGCCAGGTAACCATGATACATTTGAAATGAGATAATTCTGTTTAAAGAGAAAGCAAAGAGCAACACAAATTTTGTATTTAAAATATATCTGCATACATAAAAAACACTGACGCAGATACTAAATGAAGGCAAAAATACATGTGACTGAAGGGGAGGGAAGGAAAAAAGGGTCTTTACCTTATGACAATCACCACCAGGGATAATTTCTTGAATATATACCAAAGGCCCTTCATTTCTGTTAATTCCTCCTACAATATTCAAACCTAGGCTTGTTCCCTTGCAAACGGAGATCATCTGAAATGCACTATCGCTACAAAGAGAAAGAAAAGCAGAATTACTTCACAGAACCATATACTCAATACAGAGTCAAGTGATGTAGTAAATTTATCTTATTGATTTCACAAATATGTATTACAGCAACAAATACAAATAGTGGCCATAATCTCAATGTTCAAACATTACACTGCCTATTTACTACAAAATCAACAACTTCAGGCGTAACTTCTGGCAATTACAGAAGGAACTGATACACTATTTTACAAGGCTAAAAGCTCCTCTCTACTGTATGTACCCAAAGCTTATGGGACTGTGTGGGTGCACACACACCAGAAGAATTAATTCATTAGAAGTAAAAAATAAACCTGATTAATCTACTTCTAGAGCAATCGATGAGAATAATAACTTAAAAAAACTGAAATTTTGCAGTATCAATGGTATTTCAAGTCACAGGATTTAATAAATAAGTAAAATTGAATACTTAGTGCTCAACCCAAACTTTTCCTGACCAGCCAAATACAACATTTTCTACAGCTCACACAAGAGAGTTACAGTCAGTTTTGGAAATTACTTTGCAAGCTTTGGGAATGGTGCTGGGCCAGAATTATTTCTGCTGCTGGTGGTGACATTATCCTTTGGATGCAACTGAGGGCTCTGTGGCCTTGAGGACGACCCAGAAGAAGGGCTGTCATTAGATTTTGCTTAAAAAAAAAAAAAAAAAGAGAAATAATGAAAAAAAGAAATAAAGCACACATTTGGGAAAAGAACAAAATTTCAACTCATGTAAGGAAGCTCAGTAAGACTATTTTTGTGTTAGGAAACACAAACTGTATCAGACAACCAAGCAAAAGCTTACATCTAAACAGCTTAAGAATTGTGAATCACGCAGGGTTCCAGGGATAACGCTTTAAAACACAGCAACTGATGGGTTTTTCAAACTGGGTGTAAAAGCAATTAAATAAATCTCAACTGACTTCTCTAAAGAGCAATCACTCATGCTATATATATAGATGCTGAAAGTCATGCTATACAAAGGCATCCTAATTAGGCATTATCAGGAATTTAGGGTATCCTAGCTCCAATTTTTATTAGTACTTTTAAATCTACAAATACGAAATACTTTTCACACTGTTCATTAATTAAACTTGTTGAAAGTAGGTGGTAGTATATTTAGTTTAAGAGTTGAGGAAACTGACGCACAAACCCCACAAGGTGCATGTTTAGAGTACAAACTAAATGTTAAAGTCTAAATAAACATGTGTGTTTTGCCTGATTTTCAGTCACTTCCTCCAACATATCCTCCCCCAAATGAAATGAGTTTTAAGTGCAGGTTTCTACTCCACCAAAGCAGCACTACTGTCCTACAGGATTATGTCAGGTTAGGAAGCAATTGCTCACCACATAATGGTTGTGTTGGAGAACTTCTGGCTGAGTTGATGTCACTGTGAGAGCCGTACTTATCCATCAGGTCAAGAAATTCTTTCCTGTGGCAATAAAAAGATCCTCTTCATCAGGATTTGGCATTAAGTTTAAATGCACCCTTTGAAACCTGCTACAGTTTCTATTGTCACCCTTCCTCAGAGAAGGCTGCTCAACCCTAACTGAAAGAGGAAAGCCCCGTCAAACATTCATAACATCCAAGAAAATGTTGGTGTAATAGAGAAGGATAAGGGCGGAATAGCAGTAGACTGCGAATGAAATGGACTGTTGGTAGAAAAGCTTCATTATTACCTCTCCTTACCCTGAATTTCAAAACTTTAAAGACATGCAGTTCAAGTCAACAACAGATAGTAAGACAGTGGTATTACTTAGGTCCAAAACAAGTTATTGCTATTAGAATTGAGTAATATACCTATAGCATCAGGATATGTTTAAAGAATGCTTTTAGTTTAACTATACTGAACAAGAACCCAGCAGAGGCTGGGAAATAAAGATGTGGCACTTAAAAAAAAAAAAAAAAAAAAGAGGATAAAAAATATGTCCATTAGTTATTCAAGAAGGAATAAAACAGATGCAAATTCTTAACTTCTATTTAGCTGTCTCAGAAATATGCAGTCTGAGGTAGATATCATTCCATATTAAATACTGTGTGTGCTTGGGCTTTGCTTATCTTTTTCATTATGAAACCTGTTTTTAAATCCTCAGCTGATGAAGGGTAATTCCTGGTCAGAGGCACTGATGAAAAAATAGTAATAAAGTAATAAGGTGCAAAAGGAGAAGTTTGCAGAAACCAATCATATTGTAACAAACTGGCAAAACAGTGGCAAAGATGTGCATCCTGTACCACATGCATTAAAGAGAAAACAAAACCTCTTGATTAATCTGGGGGCAGCCTAATTTAAAAGAGTTTATAATCTGAGCTATGATTACCTCAGTGATAATAGATTAGGGAAAAAAAAACATAATAAAGAATGATGGGAGCCAGAAACATCAGCAAATTAATATTGCAGAATTAGAGAGAGAATATAAATTAATGAATTGCTAGGAATGTAATTCCCAAGTAATTCCAGTGGTCGCAGAAGGTTGCTGATATCTGCTGTATGCATTAATGACAAAAGTTACTAAACTAATGCCAGAGGCAGGGAATACCCATAAACACAGCCGAGTGTAACTCAAACAAGCTTTTAGCACAGGAATGTACAGTCACAAGAAATTAATCCACAGGTGTCTGAGCAAGGACTGTCTGTAGTGTTATATTCTGCACAGGCCATTGGGCATAGACCAGAGCAGGAAAAGGACTGAGGGATTTTAATTATTGAAGGACTTTGGAGGAACTAGGTCACTATGCTCGAGATCAAAGCAGATTAAGAGTGGACCTCGCATATATCTAGGCAGTCTGAAAAAAAAGGAGAGGTCAGAGGTTACAGAGCGATTTAAATGTCTGGCAAATACAAAATATACAAGCGCAGAAAGAGGAAGCTTAAATTGGGCAAAAGGCTAAAGGAATTTAGAGAAAATTCCTTTATGGAGAGATTACTCTGTAAATGGAACATCCCAGGAAAGGCAAATAACAGCAGGTACTCTTGCAATGATTATCAAATGTAGTTACATAACAGCCATCTCCTCCAGAGATTTGAGGGGATAGAGACCTGGATCCTGCCATTTCCGATGATTCTCTGCTAATATTGCTTTATATGCTTAACTTTAAAGGGCAAGATTACAGCAATATTTAACATAAATGTCTTTACAACGGATGTATTTTAGACTACCTGCTACACTGAACAGTTTAACCTACTTATCCAAACTAATTCAAAGGCTCATGAAAGATTGAAAAGCAAACTTCTGGGGTGAAATAATGCCCAAATCTGTTTTTTTTCAGGAGGCAAGACCAGCTTAAATCATGCAGTCTTGTAGCACTGTAGGTCTAACAGATTCCTCGATTCTTTGTGAGAAGTATTAATAAGAATTATCACAGCAAATGATTTTTAATGGCATTAGCTGGTAACATAACATTTCAGTCCTCTTCATTAAACTGAAAGTGGCCTGAGCTTCCTACTTTAATTGATGCAAATGGTCTCAGAATGAATTGGTATCAAATACTATACACAGAAAAATGTGACATATGGTGCAATTTTGTGATTAAACTAATCTGAAAGAAAAACACAAGCAAGCTTAAAACACACACACACCCCCCCCCAACCTTAGATGTAGCTTTGGCTTTTCATTAGTTTTGAGGTTAAAGCAATGTTTTATTTTCTCTTACTTTGCTTCTTCATCTCTAGCAACTAGCAGAGACATGTGGTTAGATGCGGATGCTGTTCGCAAGATGTCAACAGCCCTAGAAAGGGGGCAAAAACAGCCAAATAAATACACCAGGGTGCTGGCAAGAAGTACATGGTGAGTAATGCTAAAAAAGCAAGAGAATGGACAAACTTTTAGTGTAGCTATCATTTTCGCTGCCAGATACAGAGAAAAATGCCTGCCAGCAGCATAGCCCAAATTAAGCATTGGAGAACTGTGGTGAGTCTGTGCCAGGAGTAAACAGGGATTGCTCTCTCTTCCCCTTCCCTTTTGTTTCCATCCTACTGCCTTCCCAGAATTCCTTCAGGATTAACAGCCTGCACCAGAGGAGAACTTCTGCTCAGGTACTTTCGTCAGCAATATATACTGTAATTTCTCTTTGAATTTTTTATCTATGTCTTCAGCCAAGCTGTGCTGATCCTTGGTGATCCAGCTGCAAAAACCACCCAACAGATTCTTCTAAACAGTTCCTCCTTCATTACTAACAATGATACTTGTTAGCTGCATCATTCACATTCACCAGTATTGAACCAACAGATAGTTATAAAAATATTTTAATAGATTAATATATTTTAATGCTATTTTCACATACATGCTATATCTACATCAATAGAAACTAGCTTCTTCTGTCATTATAAAAACTTATAAAGCCCTGTCTCTTCTCCATGATGGTTTTGCTGAATTAGATTTATACGATAAATTAATTGCCAGTTGAACTCCAAGGAACTCCGTGTGCTCTGTGAAATCAGTGGTCAATAATGGCCAAAAAAATCCGCATATAACATTGCAAGCTCCAAAAAACCATTTAATAATCAGAACAAACATACCTTTCATTGGTTACTCCCATTAAGTTTTCTCCATTGACGTCCAAAATCAGATCACCAGTGAGCAAACGGCCTTGTAATGAAATCAACAGTAATGCATGAATCAACAGGAAAATGGTGAACATATTATATGACAGTAATAAAACAGGGACTTCCTTTCAATTTTTATGTGACCTAATGCAATAAACAATGTCACATCTACTGTACAATGTACAACCTTATTACTTATAGCAGATCAGGTTCTGATCCTAATTAATCTATATATATAAATGTTATTTAGCTCTTTGTATTATTTACACATAGTAAATATTTTTGGAACCAGAATTTATATTTCACTGCTTAACATACATCTAAGTTACCACATATGGATGCATTAACATTTTATACATCCATGAAGACATCTACAAGATTTTTTTAAAACCAATTCTAATTTTAACCTTCTGCAAATCACAAGTTTAGAAACTATTACTTTTGAAGTAGATTTAGATTATTTTAAATGATCACTCTGCACAAGGCCAGATGGAATCTCGAAACACCCATATACAGACCTAGGACAGAAGTACATTCTGTATTAGTAACTTCATTACTGCAAACTCTGCCTGGTATAATTTCTTCTTTCCACACTGAACATCTTAACCACCATTGAAAAATAAATAAGCAGAACTTATAAAAAAATACTACTTCTATAAACCAGTTTTATATAAGAAAAACTGCTCTTATCCCTTTGGAATTAAAAAGCCAGAATCAAAATGCTCATTTAGCAGTGGTGAGTTTGCCAATTGCTTTCACACCAGCCAACTCTAGATCTGAACACATTTACAAGAACTGACAGTATTGAAATCTTTTCCCATGAAGGGTCCAAATTCTGTTTCTCCATTTTAAAGTAAGCCCAGCACTATAAGCCCTCACTAAACCATAGTTTAAATACCCTTATCCACAAAGTAAAACAAAGACTTCTTTTGACAGCTTTTTATATGCAGCATGCTTGTAACAAGACCTTTAAGATTACTTACTATCTACAGCAGCAACTCCTCCAGGTAGAATTCTCTTTATGAAAATCCCATAATCTTCTGCTGTTTGTGCCCGATAACCACCAATAATTTTAACTCCTGCAGAAGAAACAAATGAAACAAGCAAGAAATCAAGTTATTCCACCTACTGTGCTGAATGGATTTACAGTCAAATCCATAAAAGCCAGACAGATGAAATTGGTACTGATGACAGTGTGAACTGGAAAACCTCGCCAGGTGCTCTTACATTGGTTTACTCTGAATCAACAGAATGTCATTACCTAATCCATTTTGACAGTCAGAAAAAGAAATGCGATGCACAGCTCGATTGATTCCATGAGGGCCCATAATAGTCCTAAGGAATAAAATAAAAACCATTAAATCCCTCTGTGCCACCCCTTCCCCAGTGCGAATCAATCTCCCCATAGCAAATATAAGATGGCAAGGCAAAATGAAGTAGATGTACTCCTCTTCCTCCAAAGCATTTCAGGTCGAATTATGAATTCCACTTTCTTTATAATAAGAGGATTACAATTACATAGAAACAAAATCCCACAACCTGGATCATCTTAGCCTTTGGGCAAAAAAACCTGTATCATAATGTCTTAGATCAGGTAATGAATATTAAAAGAAAACCAGTGAGGCCAGTGTATAAAAAAATGTTTTCTAAGATATTTAACATATAATTTTGTGGTGAAATTGTCTAAAGGCAAACAAGTATTTCAGAGGTGGTTGATAATGCTGAAGAATTAAGAGTTTTGAAACCTACACTTACAGTTCCATCAGACATGATCAGCATACTGCTCTGAGATTGCAAAGAGGTAAGAATTCCTATAAATCCAGGTTACCCATCACCAGTTTTTATTTTAATTTAGTTGAATTATTATTAAATAATCCAATTGTATATTTTATCCGGCACCTTTGTCCTCTCATAGTACCATTTTTGGAGAAGACTCACCAGAACCCTTCAAGAAAAAAGCAGAAGCATCACTTGGGTTTCTCTGCTTTGACCTACATATTGGTCTATATTAGGTAGTGAGTTGCATTTTCTAGAGCATGATGTTGAAGTGAAATGGAACAACTAGAAATCATTAGCAGAGGGAAAAGAAGATCAAAGTGGAGGACATAGTGACCCAAATCCTCCCATGTTACCAAATCCAGCACACAGCCTGAACTCCATGCCTGAAAGTGGGGATTTCTGCAAACCCAGAGTACATGCCATTAAACAGTGCCATGTCAGAGGGAAAAGAGAATTCCAGAAGGTCCAAATGTTCCTAAATTCTAACACCAGGCAAGAGATCCAGCTTCTAAAGAACATACATAATTCTTTTTGGGTTTGTATAAGAAAACTGGATGAGCTTTTTATTAAGGGATAAGCACTTGCTCTGAAAAGCAGTAATTTGTTCCACTACCTTAAATTCCCAAGTATTTGCAAAATTAGTCCTTGCTTTAGGAAGGCTGGCCGTAAGAACAGACCTAATAATTCATCTTTAGAAACACAGAAACAGGAAGCTTGTGCTTCAAACATCAACCTTCACTGCAGCATTTCTTGAAGTGTTTGTTTCACAGGCTAACAAGAACTGATGAGACCCAGATAGTGTATTCAGGCACTGACAAGACTGCACATGACCTTGCCCCTATGTGACAGGCATAAGGCACACTTTCTATGGCTAAAAGTGAATCAAACTGCTTTTACTTAATTACAATCTGAAAGATATAAACCCTTAAATCTGCTATTTCCCTAACAGAACTTTGTTGATATGATTACTTCTACAACAGTAGAAATATTTTGAATTACAACAGCAGAGTATTTTGAATTACTTCCTAGTACTGTCACTTCAATTATTCCACAAACCTATACTGTTTTGAAGCTAACAGATAACATACTAGTCATGTTCTTTAAGTGCCTGTCCTGATTTGTATCCGTTTTTGAAAACTTATACAAGGTATCCTGATCTTTAAAATAAATAGACAATTATTCTGGGTTTTTCTATCTTGCCTTTTGCTACTTCTGTTCTGTTCCTTGCTCTGCTGTGCTCTCGGCAGTTCTCACTTAGCAGCTTTTATTAAAATAAAGCAAACACAATTGTTATTTCAACCTCACACTGAAGTTTACTTCAGTAGAGTCTTAAAAGATCACATCTCAGACTTCAAAGTTCAGCGTCCACCAGAAATCACAGAACCTATTTATATTCTACCATATAACATGATGGTTAAATATGATCTAATCTAGGCACAGAACACAGTAAGAAAGGATGTACATTTCTAGAAGTAACAGGCAGTACTTTCAAAAGACACATTGTAACTAACATAAGATACAGAGAATATACAAATACTAATTCACAATGGAGAGGAAATAGATATCCCTGAAACAGTGAAACTGTCATGATTTTGCCACTTACAATTAGAAAGAACTAACACTTTAACCAGACACCTTGACAAAGCATTCAGATTGTGTTTATGCTCTAAAGATTAAATTCCTCCAATACACACGGTTTAAAATCACTTTATCACATAAAAGTAGAGACAAGGATCTCCAAGTGCCCAAATTTGTTTAGCGTACCGCATCTTGCTGGCTTCTGGTGTTAGTTTTTAATCCCATATAATTTAAGAGATGGATTTTCAAATTAAACAATCAGATGTCACTGCTCATTCCTTGAGAACTTGGGCAAAACCACTTGTAAGCACGGGTTTAGCACACAGGGAGAACGTGAGGCATCACATGAAATAAACAAGCAAGACTCCACAAAATTTAACCGGAACACTAAAAAATACTAAACTCAAGGCTCTGACAGAAGTCCAGGAATGCTGATAGACCAGGTTAGTATTATTTCATGTAGATGGTATAGTAAAGGCAATTAAAATGAAACCTTTTATACTTTTTTCTATTAGTTTTTTGCAGCATTCGTAAGGAAGTTCACAGCTTTAAGTTTTGTATCTTCTAGAGACTTACCAGAATATACAGCTCGGCATATTCTTGTGATTTCTATTTCTGAAAACTTATTCATTTTTGTGCACAAACAAAATATCTGTTTTATCAATGGAAGAATAATACCCTTCCCTCACAAAATAAGTACTACTTGACACATAAAAATCTAAATTAATGAACTCCATCTGCTAATGAAAAGAAGCTGAGAAAATACACAGCTTTTAAATTATCTTTACTGTACTTCCCCCAATTACAGACCAGAAAAACGCTGTCAGAACCTGATGGTTAAGCATACCAGTATAAGAGAGAAAGACCATCAAAACGCTCTGGTTCATCTTCATCTCCTGGTGAGAGCAAGGACATTCTTCAGCACAGCAGCAAAGGCAGTGACAAAGCAACTAAAATCCACCCGAGGTTTCCAATCCAGCCGGATAAAGGGTGCATGCAGGACAATTTCTGCTACTAAAGAAAACCCCAAACAGATAGAGCTCCAGACGAGTGTCTCTGCCTACTTAATCTGCTCTGAAACCCTCTGCGTCACATGGACTAATTCACCTATCAAGGTAATGTTTACTTTTTCTCTCTTTAAAATGGAAATGTGTAGCATTTTTAGAGACTGATAAATGCAAAGGAGAGAAAATTGACTTGCACTTGGTACAGCTGTGATTATGGAGTCTGTATCTAGCAGCTGAAAGCAGCTGCAATAATTAAAGCAAACTTTTTTTCTCATGTGCTTCCAATAGTTCATTTAGACACTCCCTCCAAACAAGGTCAAAAGCAGTAACTCATGACCTTTCTAAAGCAATCTTCCTAGCAGACTGGATTATGTACATCCACACACAAAAGGGAAAGCCAGTAAAGCAGACAGACTGAAAGCATTAATGAAACAAATGCCATCATGCTATTACTTTACATTCTCAATCACAGCACTGACTTGTGTTATGCTTTAGCTTGATTTTCAGTAGTGCAATATACAACAGTCAAGAGAGAGCACAGAACTTTGTATTTTCTCTAGAAATGAAAGCTGATACTTTTTTTTGGTATGAAATCAAATAGAAATGGTGAATTTGTATTATTACACTGACAATAAGCCAGGTGAAAAAGTAAAATATATACCACTGTTCCCAGATGTAAGACTCTCTTCTGATCTTAGGCTGGGTCTTGCAGAGATACGAGTATCTTTCAGAAGTTCTGAGCACTTGACATCAGCTCAGTTAACTGCTATTTCCTTCCATGCCTGCCTTATAAGATGCACTCCCATTACTCCCCCTCTTTCAAAGATCTTACAAAGATTGCAGTGTAAAAATAAAACCAAATGTTCTGTCTTCACCAAGGGCTTTGTTTCAGTAGAAAGGGAGTAACCGTGTGATGAGACAGCATCTGTCAATGTCTGGAGCTGCACAGCAGGACAGCTCAGCTATGCCAGGAATGCACACGCTGAGCTCAGGCACTTTCTTCTGTTTTAAAGTTACAGTGACTGTGGATTGGTTACAAGGAAGGATCTTTTCATTTGTAGTTGATGTGCTGTATAGTGTTCAAATATACAGAGGCCAGTCCACTCTGTACGCCCAAAGTAAAGAAGGGTAAAGTGACCCACCACAGGTGAAGGAGCAGAGCGGTGGTGCAAGTGGGGAACATGAAGCACCCTCCCTAGTTCCCAAAATGTGAAGAGCTCCACGGGCTCCATTTGGATTGCACACGTCCATCCAGTGAAGAAAACTTGGCCCTTCGTAGTCTTTTCTCCATTAGTTTAACTGTGCTGGCATCACAGTCTGATGAACGAAAAGCCACTTACATTCTAAGCATCACATCAATTAGACGTGCTCTGGGCCTGGTTACAGAACACAAAACACCAACTGCCTTTCTCCTACAAATTGTCTTGGCACCAGAGGAATTCAATCGGTGGTATCAGTATGAGGAACATTTGACAAAACAAATCACTCAGACCAATACAACTTGTTCTGAGAGACATGTTTTCTGCAACAGAAACCCACCCACCACCCACCTCCCATTAGAAGTACAGCTCCAGGCTATGCTTTTGCATTATTAAACAGCAAAAAATTAGTTTTATTAGACCAGACATGACAAACTTCCAAACAATTTAAGCATATATAAAGTAGTATTAAGCTAATTGCTCCCAGCCCTTCTTATTAGGGTTATTTTCAGTGATACATCACTTGTTCAAACAACTGCTCCTCCATCCCTTCTTCAATGTAAATGGTGCATCCTGAACTCACCCCCAAAGCTTCAATCCCTCTTTACCTGACACTTCTGCTGCTGTGCTGCCTTTGGTGTTTCTAAAGGTCTTATATAGAAAAATGGTATAACTGATTCTCTTGCAAGTTCTCTGCCTTTCAAGAACATACTCAGGGGAACACAAAAAATTTCTTACTTCCAGAAAGATCTAGGAATACTGTAACAACTTAATACTCCCTAAAATCTGGTATCAGTAAGTAAGACTAAATTTTCAAGAGACATCTTTTGTTATTTTATGCAGCAAACAAACTGGGATCTGCTTTCAAATAGCCAGTAAACTATTCTAATCTGCCAACACTATCATGACTCGCCTTTCCCAAAGGAAGTTTTGTAATGCTTTAGCAACTGAGACAGATTACAAGAGAATTCAGCACATGACAGAAAGATCTGCAGAATCTTCAGAGCCACGATTCACAAGATCTTTGTGTTGTAAATATAACAAATGCCTTTTACAAAACCCCTGTACAAGTCAATCATGCAACTGTAGCCTTTCAGGTTTACTAACCCTAAATGGGTTATGGTACTAAGGACCACAGCCAAGAGAACACTGTATCATACAGTGTGAGCAAACACTGCTGATCTATCCAAAACCACCATTATGCAAAATACATATTGCTGATTAGGTCATAGAGATTAAAAGAAAACACATGTCATTATATGGCAATTGTTAAACATGAAAAAAGGCTTGAGCAACATTGTAATTGCGGGAAAGCCTGAATGGTTTGGGGCTAACCCCTTGTGTAGAGAAGAAAGGTATTATTTAAAGTTTAGGTAAACCTCAATTAACATAAAACCAAGCGCATTCTTGAAGCACTGTGCATTGATACTGTCTCCCAGAAAATAAATACGTACAGAAAATTAGTGTCTTCCATCACTATGTAGCTGAAGTGCAGTTACAGGCACCTTTCATGCGTCTCTTCTGCCTTTGGAATTCAGTGATCTAGCAACTATTCATATAATGCACCTTCCACATGAGTGCGGCAAGCCACAGCTGTTTTGTAGATGTATCTTTGTATCACCCCCCCTGCATTTCCACCAGACACTGTGTTTGCTTCCAGTAAAAATCAAATGGACTTTTAAATATTTTGTGGATGCTTAAAAAAAAAACAACCCAAGTTATTTATGAGGTGGCATAATTCAAAATCTATGCTGAATTGTTTGACAAAGCTTTTGAATACCATTTGCTGGATTCTATTGCACAAGCACAGCAAACATGATAGTCCAGCATGAGCTGTCTGTGCTTGGTTTTAGTTAAGGTTGTGATGACAGTGTTGGCATGGTTAGTCAGATGTTTGGGAAGGGTCTGGAGTTAGGATTTTAAATCACACTGAATCCATGTTTGCCATTTCAACTCTGATCCAACTTTTAAGTGGATAATATTACAGTTTATAGAATTACTATAATTACCATTTAATATCCCATGGCACTGCTAAAAAGCAAGGTGGTTCCAAAGCACTACATACAAAATACTAAAGCATGCACAGAGCATTCGGAAAAGAAACGCATTATCATAAACTCCATGCAGTGTCTTACGTTGCTGTAGGTGCCCTACGTGTACGAGGGACTCATTTGCTATATACTTTCCAAATATGTTTTCATAGCTGGAGAAGCATTAAGGAATTTCTATGTGGGGTTTTATCTCTACAGATCCAGTCCAAACCAACTGCTGATTAACTTAATGAAAAGCTTCAGAGCTATTTCCTCCCTTTATGTGTAAATTCACTGGTATTAGCTTTGCTAAGAGGTTGCTTCAGACTGTTTCAATATCAAAGCTATTTTATCAAAACAAAATCCTACTAATGAAACTGCAGATTACAACCCAGTAGTGGCACCCCTGTGTGCATGGGGATAAAAGTACTTACTTTTCATCTGTATTTGTTAGGGGGTCTGCACCGGACATCTTCTCAGGTGCACTACTTTTATTAAGGTTCAAAATGAAGGATTCTGATACATGAAGCACTGGCTCATAACCAGGATAATCATTGCTGTAAAAAAGGAGAAACCAGTTCTTGAAATTTACATGGCACTGTTTATTTTCAGACACTGACAATTCCTCTTTGAAAGCATGTGGGAAAAGAGAACTTTCATCACAAACCAGGTAACTGCATCCTATTTCCAGCAATGAAGTGTAACAATTCAAACTGCACTGTATACTGTACCAAAACATCTGACATCCTGATTTATGAGACTGGAATTAGGGAAAACCTGAAGCCCATGTGATGAAAAATCTTCTAAGAAATGAAATAACTGAGATCACAATTCCAGGATAAGGCAGCGTAACTGCTAAAGACAAAACCAATCTGTTTCCAGGGAAGGTTGCCTGAGGAGGGAATGTTGTTTTGAACATGATTGGGTGTTTTGTGTGTCTTGTTTTCTCACTTTTTTTAACTTACTGTCTAGTGTTTAGGCCTATGGAATTCTCACTTTAAGTATGTTAAGACAGAGGCCAAAACACATGGAAAATGGGGTTACATACCACTACTGCAGCAGAAAGCAGTAATTCACATTGTGTTTTTATTAGCGCATACAACAGATGGCGAGAAATACAACCCTAAATGTGCTGAGCTACAACCATCTGAAAAATTACTGCATAGTGCTAATGCAAAATTATCCCTTTTCATCAGTAGCAAAACTTCATGAGCCTCATGAACCCTGACACGGCCATCAATCACAGAAGATACCATCTCCTAAGACAAGATACAAGCAGGACAAGGAACTCTCCAAACAACACAGAGGCAGAAAACAGCCACAGGTGCTACTGGCGCCAGTGATATGCTACAACCTGGGCTGCACTACAACAGCCTCCCTTGGCGCACAGTGCCAGCCTCCATAAAAACGCACTGGCCAACGCTTGCTGTATTTCTGCATGAAAAAACAGTGGTAAATTCACTTTATAATAGCACACGTTTTCCTGCAGTAAATGTTTTCACATCTCTTGCTAAAGGATCAGAAAACCCCACCATTTAAATACAAACGAGACAACACAGTATCGCTTCATTCTGGGCTTTATGATTCTAGTATTTAACACCTCTAAATGGAAAATGAAGCGGTATCAGGACCTGTAAAGTCACTGCATGATTCACGTTACTGGAATCGGCACAAGAGAA